CAGGAATGCTCCGTAGTGACCTATAATAAAATAGCATACGACAGACTTGTACAGAAGAGTAAGATTCTGAAGTATACAGCTTTCATAAATGTTCACATACAAAGATCCAGACACTCATGCGCCTCACTGCCAGAAACAGAGTTGCTCTGTCCTGCCCAAACTGGAAGAGTTGGATCATTCGGTTCCCCATGCCACCCTAGATTTACAGGATAAACACTGAATCCCCGCACCCTGCTTTCACTGCTGCTCCCTAAGGCTGGTGTGCTGACGCTGGCAGCTCAAAGTCCAACTTTCAGGGGTGTTTAAAAATTCCCTTCAGGATAAAACCTGATCAGACTGAAAGATCTATTTGCCCTGCACACCACTGATCATTTCCTATTAGTCCCTGAAAGACATTTTAGAAGGGGAATGGGCAGTTACTGAACAAATCTTTCCTCAACATCCTAACTGATCCAAAATTTTCAAACCCGGGTTCTGGTTTTCAAACACAGCTATCTTTGCAATATCTTTAAGGGATTCAGCAGGTGTTATCCTCTTATATGCTAATGTGAATAAACTCTGTGCAAGTATCAAGGAAAGAGGGGATGCTAAGTGCCTGCATGATATCACTTTAAATGCAGTTTTGCAAAATTAGGCAGTTTGAGCAACTGAGATCACAAAGAAGATCAAGCTCTTCCTAAAAATACTTTTTCTGAAGGATATTCTAGACACAAGAGGTGTCGCTCAAGAGAAGTTGGAATTAATTATTAGTATATCTAATTCTTGCTTTAGGTACTACAAAGCATTACCTGTTAAAGTGGGTGTAACTAAGTCTGACCTCAGCAGTACTGCAGCCACCCCCCTCAGGCCTAATTTGGTCCTCTTCATGTTTTATGGCCACCGTTGGCATTCGAAACATGCCATTTCTCTGTGTATCCAGGGGTCAGATTTGCACGTACCTCTCTTTGCGATCATTTGGGGGCAACCTAAATTTAAGTCTATGGCATCGCAATAATCCTGAGCCAACAGCGCTGCTTGGACAAACACTTCAGGGTCATTGGCACAGAACTGAGAAAGACAAAGAAAAGTGGAATCATCAGGCAATAGCTTTCTTCAAGGACTGACAACACATTATGACATAGTTATGAAGCAACTACTTGCTACAGAAAACAGGCATAATATGCACAGTTAATAACAGCAAACACTGTTTCTCAAATAAAACCCAACAAACAAAAACTGTGACACTTACCAGCTAAAGATCCTCAACCTTCAAATGACAAAATGAGAAAGTTGAGCATTCGAGAGACAAAGAAATATCTGTAGAATATTTTACATGTAGTACCCAAGAACAAGAGGGAACAACTCTTAAAATCCCCTGTAAGAACAAGCAGCTGTAGCATTTTAATACATAAAGGTGGTGCAGAAGAAAAGAGTTACCTGTGGTGCCTCTGGCTCTTGAGACAATTCAAACTTTGTAGATACCAATAAGCACCACTGCCTCTAAAATGAATTCACATTAGCGTGGAGTGTGAAACAGACACATTGGGCTGTTAGTCAAATACTCAGTCTTAAATAAAATTAACATTACATTTAAAGCACAGTGCAAAAATCAATTTATTAAGAAAAATTAGGTTAATTTGAAGCTGCTTTGTTGAAGAGGACAGAGCCAGACTATTCTTCTCATTTATGCTTTTAAACAGATTTTCTAAAATTCATTATCAACAAAACCCAATGCCATTACTTCTTTAAATAATATGGATTTGAACTCAAAAACATGTGAGCAGAAGCTGTTACTTAAACCCTACAGCACTACATAAATTATGGCTGACACCAACTAAAACCAGAAAAGGCATTTGCTTTCTCTGAGGCGACTGAAACAACGGAAAGCCTCCAACCAAGCCACATCAGTGAGGGCTTTTACACAGCAAACGAAGCCCCCAGAGCAGGCTGGGCTCAGATGCACCTCTGCCTAATCTGTTTCCAAGAGTCCGTGACCAAAACCCAAGCCTGCCCAGAAATACTGCAGAACTCAGTACGGATGGCTGTAGCGGGTCAATCCAAAGATCAATCTAGTTAGTTCTGTGCCTTATGTCCTATAGTGGCCAGTGGGAAAAAGGATAATCCAGCAAGCTCGCAGTAGCTGGCACTGTTCAGAACACACAGCCTACTGAGCTGAAGATCTGTGTTCAAAAGACTTACAGCTTTCTAAGACTATTTAAATTCCCGCCACCTGTATTCTTCTGTGGCAAAATACACTACCTCCCGTGGAAAACAAAGCTGTAGTGAGACAGGCCAAAGGTCCGCCTCATCCTGCTCTGATAACGGTCAACAACAGATGCCTAGGGAACAGCAGAAGCTGGAAAGCGTCTTCAAGGACTTCGGAAGCAGAAGTGGTGTTTCCTGCACTTAATGACCCTCAACAGAGTTTTCCTTCATTTGCTTTCTAAACTCATGCAATCTGTCAGCATCCAGTATGCGGCAATGAATTCTGCAGTTTGTAACTACCACTACCCTTACTCAGCACTCCTGTTTCCTGGTCGTCACCTTCAAGCCAGTCATACTTTCACAGACTTCTCCCATCTCTCCCCTCAGTCAGGGGAGACACTTCTCTTCCAGGGTGAAGAGTCCTCATCCATTTAACTGCTCCAGATGTGGAAATCACACCGTTCCTCTGCTTGCGCCGACTGTCCTTCCCTGCATTATTCCCCAGCTCTCCAGGCCCCTCTCCCTCTTTGGGATGGAGCGGAGGTACCTGAACCTCACACAGGACTCGAGAAGCAGAAGCAACGCAAGCTTAAAAGTGCGTCCTGTCTTCCTTGCATCCTTTTTCTACAGCTAAGCACGGAGCTCTTGGTTCAGAGAACTGTTCAAAAACCTGTGATCCTCCCTAAGCGGTACCAGATTTGGAACAACCCTTGCCTCTAGAAGATCAGCTGCGATTTATCTCTAAAGACAAGGTGTAGAGGACTGAAGCCCTGTGAGAAGCCTAGTGCTCAGGCCCCTGTGGTTAAGGCAGCAAATCCTCTTTGCTAGACAAGGGACAACAGAAAACCACACTTACCTTCATGAGCTAAGTACTGTTAGCGGCGTTTAGGTGAAGAAAATGAGATTTCTGTCATCCTGTATAACCACTTTAAAATCTGGGTGAGACCGACCAGCTTGAACTCATGCGCGTTTGGCACACGTCTGCATTTGTTGACACAAACGGGGTGGGTGACGAGGGTGAGGGTGCATTTGGCAATGCTGACGTGATTCTGCGGCGTCACCCAAGAGCGCACCGCGAGGTGAACCCCGGGCGAGCTCCTCCCGGTGCCAGGGCTGACCGGGCCGGCACCGGGGCTGACCGAGGGCCGACC